ATTGATCTGTAAGATGTAGCTGTCAAAATCTAACAAATTGCCTTTGAAATTGAGAAGATGTTACATTTAATTGTTAATTCAATGAAATCTTTCTAATTCCTTACTATTCCGAAGGCAGATGCTTGCCACCATGCCCAGCCGGGGATCGAACCCTCCACCCTTGCTTCTGCCCAAGCAGGCACTTTAATCTGCTGATGTATCTGGCTCGCATAACATTCAATTGGTAGAAAGCATGATGAAAATTACAAAGACACATAAAACCTTTTATTTTTCTAATTTGGCTAATAGAACAATTAGATGAAGAAAATCTAAGAAGCTAAAATAGAAAACGAGATGAAAAAGCAGCAGATATTTTATTTTTTTATTTTTTTTGTGGAACCAGGGATTGAACTCAGAACCTTGTGCTTGCCAGGGAAGCACTTACTCTACTGAGCCATCTCCCCGACCCCAGTAGCAGATATTTTATGAGTTGCTCTGTACTTATGTGTTTGTATACATATGTATACATATATATTCACAGACTATATGGACCTACATTAGGTCTTGGTCATAAAGATAATAAGTTAATTTTTTAAAATTTTATTTTGTGGAACTGGGGATTGAACTCAGGCCCTTGCATTTTCCAGGCAAGCACTTATTCTACTGAGCTATCTCCCCAGCCCCATAATTTAAATTTTTAGAGTCACTGGCATTTCTGTGAGCATCTGAACAATTTAGAGAAAAGTCTCTTCTAAGTTGGAAAACAGTTTTATTCTCTGTTTTCTATATTCTTTCAGATGAACACATATAAATGATAGTTAATATTATTGATACTATTACTATTGGAGTAAAGCAAGCAAAACCAATTGATACTAGCATTAAAGCAAGCAAAACCAATATTTATAGAAAATGTAGAAAAATAGAAAAATTGTTATCCTATTTCTTTTAGAGGTTATTAATCTGTTTATGTATTTCTTTTTATGCTTTTTCAGAAATTATGATCAAAGCACAAAATAATCTTGTTTGCACCAGTCATATTTCAAAGCAAATATTACTTTTAGAAGAGTTTTATGCTCCTCATAATGTTAAAGACTTTACTAGATTAGACAGGTGTCCTTGGGGTTAGAAGTTTCTTTTGAAACTTTAGTGCTGTGCATTGGAAGTTGACTCCAAATTTCAGAAATAATTTGAGATATTTTGCTCTGGGCCTACAAGGACTGGGGTCCTGTTATTAATGTCCCACCCTTCCGGTGAGATGTCCTGGGTACATATAAGAGGATGAAGCCAGATGATTCACATCGTGAGTGGGGCTTTGGCTTCATCCCAATGTAAGTCTGTGAGGAGGCAGGCTGGACATGAATTACCTGTGCTAGAGGATTCACACAGCTTCCCATCACCTAGCAGGTCTTCTGTATGTATTTCTGCTTTGGATTTGCTCTTCTAATGAGAGCAGCAACAATGCAAAAATGAGAGAATAACCTGTACCTAAGTCTAGAGAATTCACACAGAAAACTCTTTCAAGGCCTTTAGCCATTTTTGGCCAGAGAACTTTTCCCTGGTGCTGGACCCAGTCTTTTGCGATAAGAGAAAATGCTGACTTTGACCACACCACCACTTGTATCTCGAACATCCCAGTAGAAGAGGAAGAAGAGAATAAAATTATTTCTTGGGTCCCCCAAATTTTAAGTACATTCTATCCCATTTTAAAATTAATCAACATGGACTGTCAGCACATTTGACTCCTCACATAGAGTAATGCTTGGACCTTTTGTGACAATGACATTATTTTTCCTTGTCTATTTCCAAATAAGTCTTTTTTCTTTTCTTTTCTTTTTTTTTTGGAACCGGGGATTGAACTCAGGCCCTTGTGCTTGCCAGGGAAGTGCATATTCCACTGAGCCATCTCCCCGGCTCCTCCAAATAAGTCTTAATAAATCATCCACAAAAAGAATATACTATTTTCCTATGAAACTGGACATTTAAAATCATTTTACTTGTTTTGTGGTGTGTGGGGAAGGGAGTGTTAAAAGAACCAAAATTTGGTAGACTGGCTCATTAAGCATGGAGGCTACCACCTACCCTGAACGCACAGTAGAACTTTCTGCCAAATTTGTAAGTTCTGTTTCTGACTGGTTTATTTTTAGATAGAAAGAACAACTTTCTTATTAAGAATTCATAGGAATATACAGAGAAGTGTTAAAAAATAGCCATTCAGTAAACTTCAGTAGCAAACTGTGGGGCTAGAAGAAGTTGCAGAGGGTACCCCAAAACAGGAATCAGGACAAAAAAGGGAGGTGCAATTGGAAGAGTTAATTCAGGCTTTCATCAGGCACTAAAATATGTTTTGCTTGGGCTTTTTTCAGTTACTACTTTTCAACCTCTTGCAGGAAAAAATGCAGATGGCATCTGTATGAACGTAGTGCCACCTGTGCAAACGCTACAGCCAAAATGCTCTTATAAGGAGTGCACACAGCTTTTCATATGGAAAATTCCTTAAGGAGTTTAGAACTCATTTCCCATGTTCACATCCTATGGCCAAGGCCAGCCACATAGCTCAGCAGATTAAAGAGCATCCAAGCAGGCACAGGGGCCGGGGATTCAATCCTGGGACCTGTTGTGCGGGTTCCACCTCCAGGGCACACTGAACTGAGATGGCAATTGGTAGAGCTGGGTTAAGGATCGCTAGTGTTTAAAGCCAATTGGGTCACAGGTGAGAGCTTTATCATGTAGTAAGGTTCTTGAGTTTACGAATTAGCAGCTTATATTTAGGACTTTAGAGCAATATAAGGACCAGGGATATAGCTCAGCAACACAGCACCTGCCTGGAAAGTGCAATGTCTTGAGTTAAATTGTCACGAAAGAAAGAGAGAGAGGGAGAGGGGGGAAGAGAGAGGGAGGGAGGGAGGGAGAAGGGGGG